TGACAGGGCTGGGTCTGCCTCCTCCGGGGGCAGCGCTTGCAGGGTTACTACCTGATCTCTAAAAGGAGTGGTAGGAACTTTGGGCACATAACCCGGGCGGGGTCTCAGAATAACGTGAGAAAATCCCGGCCCGAATTCCAGGCACGAGTCACTGACCGAAAATGCCTCCAGGTCCCCGACCCTCTTAATGGAGGCCAACGCGACCAGCAGAGCTGTCTTCAGGGACAGAAATCTTAAAGATACTGTATCGAGTGGCTCGAAGGGATCAAATCGCAGGCTCGTAAGAACGAGGGCGAGATCCCAAGAGGGCGTGAGAGGGGGGCGAGTTGGATTAATTCGCCTAGCGCCTCTGAGGAACCGGATGATGAGGTTATGCTTTCCCACGGTGCTGCCAGCCACCGCGTCATGGTGAGCGGAGATGGCAGCAACGTAAACCTTGAGAGTGGAGGGCGACAGCCTGCTGTCCAGCTTCTCTTGAAGGAAAGAGAGCACAACACTGATCTGGCAAGATCGGGGGTCTTCTCTGCGAGAGACACACCACTCAGTGAATAGACTCCACTTCAGGGCGTAGGCGCGCCTCGTGGAGGGGGCTCTAGCCTGAGTGATGGTATCAACCACCGCGGGCGGCAGGTTACCTAAGTCTTCCTCGCGTCTATGGACCACACGTGGAGGTTCCAGAGATCGGGACGAGGGTGCCAGACGGTGCCTTGTCCCTGAGAAAGTAGGTCCTCTCTCAAGGGATCTGCCAAGGGAGGGCCGTCGCGAGGAGGGAGAGCTCTGATATCCAGGTTCGGTTGGGCCAGAGGGGCGCAACTAACAAAACCTGCTCCTCGTCCTCCCTGACCTTGCACATTAACTGCGCGATCAGGCTCACTGGGGGAAACGCATACTTGCGTATGCCCCGAGGCCAGCTGTGGGCCAGTGCATCCGTGCCGAGAGAGCCCTCGGTCAGGGAATAAAACAACTGGCAATGAGCGTTCTCGGGGGAAGCAAACAGATCGATCTGGGCCTCCCCGAATCGCGCCCATATCAGCTGGACAGACTCGGGGTGGAGTCTCCATTCTCCAGAGTGAATCTGCTGCCGTGAGAGCACATCGGCTGCACGGTTGAGCATACATGGGATGTGAATGGCGCGAAGCGACTTCAGTCGCGGGTGACTCCAGAGGAGCAGACGGCGGGCGAGCTGAGACATGCGGCGAGAGCGCATACCCCCCATGCGGTTGATATACGCCGCCGCCGCCGTACTGTCCGTCCTGACCAGCACGTGTTGCTGCCCCAGCACCGGAGAAAAACGGCGGAGAGCAAGGAACACTGCCAACAGCTCTAGGCGATTGATGTGCCAATGCAGCTGGGCACCTACCCACAGGCCCGCAGCTGCATGCCCGCGACACACGGCTCCCCAGCCTGTGCTGGAAGCATCTGTCGAAACAACAACATGACTGGACGCCTGTCCCAGAGGCACACCGGCCTGCAGGAACGAGGGGTCGTTCCAGGGGCTGAGGGTGCGGCGACACAGCGCAGTAACAGAGACTCGGTGTGTGCACTCGATCTTGAAGCCAGTGCTGAAGTGGTCTCATATGGAGCAATCCGAGCGGCGTGACGGCCGCAGCGGAAGCCATATGCCCCAGGAGCCTCTGAAAATATTTCAGTGGGACCACTAACTTGCTGTCGAGCTCCCTCAGACAGTTCAGCAGCAGGCGAGCGCGCTCTCCGGAGAGGCGCGCTACCATGGTGACCGAGTCCAGCTCCATCCCGAGAAAAGAGATCCTCTGCACCGGGGCGAGTTTGCTCTTTTCCCAGTTGACCTGCAACCCCAATAGGCGGAGATGCCGGAGCACCTCGTCTCTGTGCGCAGTCAATTTCTCCCGAGAGTGGGCTAAAATCAGCCAGTCGTCGAGATAATTGAGTACGCGGATGCCCGCAAGCCGCAGAGGCGCTAGGGCACCCTCCGCGAGTTTGGTGAAGACCCGCGGAGACAGAGAGAGCCCGAAGGGGAGGACCTTGTACTGCCATGCTCGACCTTCGAACGCAAACCGCAGAAACTGACGGTGGCGTGGAAGAATGGAGACATGAAAATACGCGTCCTTCAGGTCTATGGCTGCAAACCAATCCTGAGGACGAACGCATCGGAGGATGCGCCTCTGCGTAAGCATTCTGAACGGCAGCTTGTGGAGGCAGCGATTCAAAACGCGCAGATCTAGGATTGGCCGTGACCCACCGCTCTTTTTGGGTACGATGAAGTACGGGCTGTAAAACCCACTCTCCATCTCGGCTGGAGGCACCGGCTCGATTGCACCCTTCGCCAGGAGGGCAGCAATCTCCTCTCGCAAGACAGGGGCGGACAGGGGATTGACCCTGGTGAAATACATGCCCGTAAACCTGGGAGGCCGTTTGGAGAACTGTAGTTCGTAGCCGAGTCTGATCGTGCGTATGAGCCACCGCGAGGAGCTGGCCCGCGCTAACCAAGCAGGCAGAGCCCTCGCTAATGACGTCATCGCAGCAATCGTTGACGTACCCGCGGAGGGGCAGCGAGGAGCGGGTGTGCTGATCCGGGGAGCGCGAGGGTCCCACAGAAGAGCTGGAGGAGAGCGTTTCGCTCTGGCTCCGCACCCTGACTCCTGAGAGGGGGCTTGGGGGCTGGGAGAAGGGAGACCGTCCCCCCAGCGCCCGAGAGCCGCTGGCGGAGCATGCAAGCCCTGCGAGCTGAGAGGCAGCGCGTCCCAGACTGGCGGGGCTTGAGCTGTCACATCCGGGGAAGGGAGAAAATGCTCTTTGATCGAAACTTTGGTGGCACTAAAAAGTACCGTTGGATTTTGGGCCCCGCCCTCCAGCGGGGAAAGAGCAAGTCTCCTCTTCTCCGGATGGCCTGTCTCAGGGACGCTTCACGGTCCGTTTACCGGACTTAGCGGCGCCCTGGGCAGGAGGGGCTACCGACTTTCGGCGTGCTCGACGCGCTCGCTTCGCCGGAGGCGGAGGCGGGGGCGGGGCATCGGCCGTTGGCGGGCGCCCTCGGCGAGGAACAGCGGAGGTGGATGGCTCGGCCGGGGATGGAGCGGGCTTACGGCCCCGCCGATAGATGACTCTGCCCATCGCATCCGACTGCTCGCTCACCGCCTTGAACTCCTGGGTGAATTCACCGACGGTGTCGCCGAACAGGCCAGCCTGGGATATGGGCGCGTCAAGAAAGCGAACTTTGTCGACATCGCGCATATCTGCCAGGTTTAGCCAGAGGTGGCGTTCCTGGACCACAAGTGTGGACATCGTCCTCCCCTGTGCGCAGGCGGCGGACTTAGTGGTCCGGAGAGCATAGTCGGTCGCCGTACGCAGCTCGTGTAACAAGCCTGGGTTAGACCCACCCTCGTGCAGCTCAGCCAGCGCCTGCGCTTGGTAGCGCTGGTAGGTGGCCATCGCATGCAAGGCGGAAGCTGCCTGGCCCGCAGCCTTGTAAGCTCTAGCTCCGAGGGAGGCAGAAAACTTACAGGCTTTGGACGGGAGACGGGGCGGACCACGCAAAGCGGGGGCGCCACGCGGACAAAGATTGACCGCAATGGCGCGCTCCACCTGCGGGATCGCCTCATACCCCCTGGCAGCTCCACCATCCAGGGTGGTGAGGGCGGAGGCGGACGCAGCGCGGGCAGAGAAAGGTGCCCTCCAGGACTGCGTAAGCCTACTGTGCACTTCCGGGAAGAAGGGGACGAGAGGCTTCGAAGGCTTCGCCTTCTGATCCTCTACGTAACACCCATCTAGTCGGTCCGGCCGCGGGGCTGGGGGATAAACCATCTCCAACCCGACGGCCGAAGCAGCCCGAGAAAGCACGGCCAACATGTCCGCTTCAGGATCCGTTTTGACGGCGCTCGCTTGCCCAGAGGGGGCGAGCGGGTCCGGATCATCGTCGGACAATGAAAGCCCGCCCTCCGATGCCGCGGAGGACATCTGATCTCCGGTGTCAGCGAGCGTGAGAGCTACCATCTGATTAGACGGATCACTCTCAGTACCCGAAGCTTGGATGGAGCGCTTGGAGGAGCGCGAGCCCGTGGGCGGCGGATTGTCTTTCGCTGAAGCCCTCAGATCTGCCCGAGCGCCCGCTGCAGAACAGGAGGCAACTGGGGTGGCTCGCTCTCTTACGAAAGCTAACCGCGATCTCAACTGCGCAACGGTCATGGCATCGCAGTGACGACATGAACCGCCCCCGAGCACCACATTAACATGCTGGACCCCCAAACATGTAATGCAGTGATCGTGTCCATCATCCGGAGCCAGGAAACCCCCGCAACCAGAAACGCACAGTCGGAGCGCCATCCTGAAAAGGACGTGCTGCACGACTGTGTTGCTCTTTTAGGATTTGCAACAATACGCACCGCTCTTGGAGGACCGGACCCAAAGGGACGCCAGGCAAGGGAGATACCCAGCTCGACCGTCTGCCGCTGCGTGGACTCGCTCTGGACCGGGATGAAAATCGTTCTCTCGAATGGCTGTAGATCAGCAGGAGGAACCCTCATAAGCTCGATCAGAAAAGGCTCTGAAGCGAAAAGGATAGCATCTGCTGGCGCCAGGTGAGCTTATATACTCAGTTGATTGCTTATGCCGCTCACCTGCGCAGGCTTGCGCTGCCAATTCATTCTTAATTGGCCCGTTCAATACTCTTTCAGACGAGTAGCTTCTGAACCGAACCTCCCAATGCGTGGATTTTACAATCAAATCCACTTTTAGTGCTGGAGTTCCCCCCGAAGGGGAACCTAATTTTCTTCATGCAAGATATTGTTTTTCTTTTGACTTTGAATGAAACATGTCTTGACAGGCTTTGTTGAGCTTCACTCTATTTCTGAATAATTTAGTAAATTAGCTTATTTCTGTGTTTAGTTATCTCTGAGCTTTCTCTGATGTGCAGCGTTGCAAACCGCTACCTACCTAAACACTCACCAATGCTTTTTGTCAGTCTAAATTGCCATTAATCAGTGTGATAAATTGCCTGTTAACGAAGCGATGTCTGTTTGTTCTAGGGATCATTAGCAGGAACTGCACTACGGAAGGCTGGTCCAACGTGTATCCCAGCATCGACAGCGTGTGTTTTGCACCCACAAATACAAATACAACTATGGTGAGTGACTCAATTCACGCTGTCAAATGTTCTGGAAACGGCTTTTTAATTGCACACTGTATTTAGGATCATTGCACTAACCATCCTGAAGGAGCTACGCATGAATAGAAAGAGCAAAGGAATATATTTTGTCTGAAAGGCACTGTTGTTTCTTCCACATGTGCTACAACCACACACTAAAAATCAGCGTTTGTGGACGCTGAGGGCACTTCAGGACCGTGAACCTTTTAGTGCCTGCATCTATGCCAGCTGGGATGGCCTCTAGGGTAGAGACTGTGTTTGTGTGCATTTGGAGATGTGAGTGCGTACATGCATGCATGTGTGTGTTCATGCGTGTGGCTGACAGAGACAAACAGTCATAGAAAGCGCTGGAGTTTTAAAAGAAATCGAGCAGCTGGCTCAAGAGTATTTTCATGGGCTTTCAACCAAATTACACTGCGTTATATTTCTTCTCCGAATCCCGAATTTGGAGACAAATGTTTTTAGATGCGTTTGAAGTTGAAAAGAGCGCCGGAGAGCCAAAAAAAAAAGTGGGATGATAAAAAGAATCAGAGCAGAATGAGGTGCTTTTTGTTCCTTTTTGGCATAAAAAAGTAAGTGATTTAACATTTTGTGTCTCATTATAGCACTGGATTTTCTCAGTCGGTTAAAAGGTTTGTCATGAAGTGATCACTTGCCCATGAAATTGACAGTTTGGTTCTGTGATTGTGCTTTAGAGAATAGAGTAGAGGGAATCTAGGGAAGTGAACCATGTCAGTGTTAGTGTCAAGTAGGGGTGGCTGATATTTATTGTCTATGATAACATCGCAATAGTTGTTTTGGTCCCACTTTATATTAAGTGTCCTTTACTACTATGTACTTACATCAACATATAAATCGATCGTACTTGATGTGTTCATAATGTATTGCATAAGACTTCTGAAGCTAATGAGGTGGGAAATGGGTAAGGTTAGGGAAATGTTTGGTGGTATGGGTAGATTTAGGGTGGGTTAGGGTGTAAGGGACAAAAAAGTGTAATTATAAATGTAATTAGAGAAATTAATTACAGATGTAAAGTTTAAGTACAATGTTAAAACGTGTTTACACAATAATCACATAGTAACAAATTATAAATTTTAGTGTAAGTACATACTATTTAAGGCCACTTAGTGGGACCGTTGTTTTAAACCTCCACAAGATGATATTATTATGTCACTTACTTTGCTAAAAAGCAAAACAAAAGCATGGCTTAGGACTCCAAAATGTATTGAGTTGGTAATGAAACCTATAAAAATTCAGTAAAAATGACACTTAGTCAGTCCCTCACTCAATCTATCACTTTCTCAATTAGTCACTTAATTACTCACTCACTTACTCAATCAAAAAGGATCATATTATACACTCGGCGCAATAAGGTACAAGACGTGTATGGCATGATTTGTTGCTATTTTCAGATCACAGCAACCATAATTTTTACATTTTGCACCTCGATGTTTAAATAGCAAATCCATTTGCACCACTTTGTGGACTCATGGGTGTGCTGGTCTAAAATAGAAGGTGGTAAGGTGTATTGTTGGCGCGTAGAGGAGTAAAGTGAAGTGTAAAAGTAAAGAGAAAGTAAAGAGGCTGAATGAAAGAGGCTCATTCTTTATACTCTCGCAGATGGTCTGTTTAACTGTTTTCTCGCTAGTAAAGTGTTCAGTTTTTCCACTTACGAAGTCCGCCATGTAAGTAGCAAATGCACCATGCCGCAACGTTACTGACTCTTAAAGGCAATTATAGATAAGACTGATTGGTCTAATGCACTTTATGCTCAAAACATACCCATAACTAGGCCCACACGGAATCTGAGTCCGTGTAGAGTCCTAAATCACTCACTCAGTCTCTTACTCGTTCACTTTATCACTCATTCAATCATTCAGTCACTCGCTTGCTCACTCAATCACTCACTTAGTCAATTTAATTCTTGAAAAAATCTATTTTTGAACAATTTCAATAAATGAATTCAATGAATAAACAGTCAATGAATAAATAGTGCATAAATAAAGACAGTCACTTGTTTCTTTCAGTTTCTGTAAATATAAATCTACCGTTGCAATCTTCTGTTTCGTTTTTGTTGTCAATTGTGATCAATCAGATATTGTTTTCGTAATAGATTCTTCTCTAAATGAATTAATGAGCTGGACTAAAACTGTGTTTATTCTTGCTTAATTTACATTTATGCATAAGCTTTAGTCTGTGAAACACTTTGTTATTGTGTTCTCTTTTTATTGCCATTACAAGGGCATCAGAGGACATGTCATAAACGTAACTCTCCATCATTAATAACAATGAAAAATGCACATTTTCCCCATCTTTTCCCATTTTTTATAACCTATTTTCAAAACATAAGTCATGAGATGTTTTTTTAGCTAGTACCCATGACCGGTTTTGCCATAAGATTTGTAGCATAATTAAGCCTTCATGGCATTATTTATAAAACAAATCCTCTTCATAGATCTCTGCTATTTTATAGGAGCTGAGAGCTTTGGGAATGCTGGGAATGACCGGAACGTTGGGAACTTTAAGCTTCCCACTTCATACGTTGGAGGCTCTATGCAGAAACTGTCATTTTGACAAAAAGGACCCGTCTCAAACGTAATCAGATGAAACCTCCCCGGCATACTAACTTAAACAGCCGTCTGAGGCAAAAAAAGAAACTAAATAAGGCTTTAAATGCAGAAGTTAAGTATCTTATACCCCCTTTAAGTTATTATGACGAATAAATGTCTTATTAAGTATTAAAATGTCCCAGATTAACATAAGGCAGCTGGCAAGAGTGAAAGTTCAGCCATTCCAAATGTAAAATTGTACAAGTTAATAAATTATGATGCAGAAATGTCTAGTCTGGGTTATACACCAAAATGACATTAAACTGCACCGTGGGGAATGCTGTCTTTCAGAGGAAATGAAGACTTGAAGATGACAGCACTCAAATCTGCTTCAGCTAGAGTAAGATGAAATGCAATCAGTGTTTTTTAAAGGGTTTTATTTAAAAGTGTCTACACATGGTTGTGTTTTCTCTGTTGCTTTACTGTGGTTTGGAGTATTTGTGGACGCGTGTGGTCTCCAGCAGGGAGGGCAAACGGCTCTTATGGCTGGATAAACAGCTGTGTGAAGCGCAGTGAGTTGTCAGCGCGACTCGAGGTGAAAGCGTGGATCAGAGGAGACGTGCTGACACATGGGCCTGCTCTGATCGCCTCTATGATGAAAAGAGATGCGCGCCGTGACTGAAGCAGCCTTGAAATGCTGCAAATCGGCCTGTCTGAGGCTATAGACACAAAAACAGGATGATCCAGCATATCAATTGGATTTGAACGGGATATCATTAGAACCTTTTGACATCTCAGTGAGCAGAGCAACAGATTTGCTGCACGCATACAGTAGACTATGCAGTTTTGGGGAAACACTGATAAGTAAAAAATATATGAATCAGAGAAAATATAAATACGTTAATGTGACATTTCCCCCCAAATGCAGCTTTTTTTTTTTTTTTTAAATTTTAACCTCATATCAAGGTATTTTTAAATGTTATCATTATTTTTTTATTGCGGCACAGTGGCCCAGTAGTTAGGACTGTCGCCTCACAGCAAGAAGGTTGCTGGTTCGAGTCTCAGGGTCAGTTGGCATTTCTGTATGGAGTTTGCATGTTCTATCCGTGTTCACGTGGGTTTCCTCCAGGTGCTCTGGTTTCATCCACAGTCCAAAGACTTGCTAAAGGTGAATTGGATGAACTAAATTGGCCATAGTGTATGAGTGTGTTTGTGTGAATGTGAAAGTGTATGGGTGTTCCCCAGTACTGGGTTGCGGCTGAAAGGGCATCCGCTGCTTAAAATATATGCTGGAATAGTTGGCGGTTCATTCAGCTGTGGTGACCTCTAAAATAGAGACTAAGGTGAAGGAAAATTAATGAATAAATTTTTTATTATCATTTTTAAATATCGGTAACAATTTAGGTAACAATTTTCACAATTAACTGGTGACTTATTACCTTATAATTAAGATATTGGCTCTTTATTATTACTTATAAAGTACATATTCTGCATGATCCTGTACAACATTCCTAATCCTGCCTAATACCTAAACATAGTTCCTTAACAAGTATTATAGAGCAAATGTGAAGTTTATTTAGGCAAAAATCATAGTTAAGAATTTAACAAAATTTAGAATTGCACCTGAAAACACAGTGTGATCAAAATAAATATTTTTTTATATATTTGATAAAAGAAATATTTTTCCTGTAGTGGCAAAACTGTATTTTCTTGTATTCAGTGTCATGTGATTTAATATAATTTTTGGTTTTTGGATATATTTGTGGAACAAATTTTGAGGATTTTCAAAAAAAAATTTCTAAATAGCATATTTTAATGAATATACACTCACCAGCCACTTTATTAGGTACATCTGTCCAACTGCTACTTAACACAAACTTCTAATCAGACAATCACATGGCAGCAAATCAATGCATTTAGGGATGGTCAAGTAGATCTGCTGCTGTTTAAACCAAGCATCAGAATGGGGAAAATGTGATTTAAGTGACTTTTAATGTGGCATGATTATTACTGCTAATCTACTGGGGTTTTCATGCACAACCATCCCTAGGGTTTACAAAGAAAGGCAGGGTTAGAATTTGCCATCAACAACATGAAGACATGGATTTATTCTGCCTTGTATCAAAGGTTCAGGCTGGTGGTGGTGGTGTAATGGTGTGGGGGATATTTGCTTTGCACACTTTGGGCCCATTAGTACCAATTGAGCATCATGTCAACGCCACATCCTACATGAGTATTGTTGCTGACCATGTCCATCCCTTTATGAACACAGTGTACCCATCTTCTGATGGCTACTTCCAGCAGGATAATGCGTCAGGTCATAAAACGCAAATAATCTCAGACTGTTTTCTTGCACATGACAATGAGTTCACTGTACTCAAATGTTCTCCACAGTTACCAAATCTCAATCCAGTAGAGAACCTTTGGGAT